TTTTTCCGTCGCTAAAACTTTTAGCGACGGATTTTGGACTTTTGGCGACGGATTTGTCATTGTGAGATCCTCTTATACTTGCGAGACAATGAAGATCTTGAAGAGGATGATGAGAGATATTCCTCAAACTTGGTTTGGTCGAATTCGTATTCGACCATGGATTCAACCGGGATCTTGATCGGCTGCGACACGACGGTCTCGGCAGCGCGACCGTTGGCTCCCACTGTGGTCGCCAGCTTGTTTGTGTCAAAAGTTGGTTGTGCTGTGGAATTCATTATATCTTCAGTCGATTACAATAAATTCAAAAGAAATAGCCTTTTTATAAGACTTCTTTTACACAACAAAATAAAAATTACAACTCTTTAGAAACAAACGCAGGATCGTTGTTTGGATCGCTGCTTGCGTGGGATCTTTGCCTGTGCCGGGAGCGCTTTGACTCGTGGACCACCAAATCACAGATTCTGATTGAACCGTGAGGGGTTTAATGATTCTTCCTTCTTTATCGAAGTGAGAACTTGAAACGATATCTTATCAAGGTAAGATAGTCGTTCTTCTTGAAATCAAGTCAAAGCCTGATTATCAAGGATTGGCCGTAAGATCAGCACCTCTGCTCTCTCTCTGCTCTGGATTGCTCTGAAGTGCTCAAAATGATCAACCCCCCTTCAAGGCTCTCTGCTCTAATCTCTCTGGAAAATGCTCAGCCCCTGTCAATGATGGCCATAGGGGGGTATTTATAGCCTCCTTAGACGATAACTGAAGAAATAGCCGGTCAATAACTGTCTCTTTAGGCGCGGCAGCTGATGATGTCGCGGCTAAAGGGCGCGACAGTTGACACTGTCGCGGCCAAAGAGCGCGGCAGTCGACACTGCCGCGGCTAAAGGGCGCGGCAGTCGACACTGCATACGTGTTTGAAACAGTTCTCCCACGACCTTTAACCACCTTTTTCGTGGTTTAACTGCTTTTCCACGTCAGCACACGTTCTATTTCTGATACGCCGCCACGTGGACTTTAAATAATCATCAGATAACGTGTATAATGTTCTTCAATGTTATCTTGAGTGGTGTTTGAACGTCTGTAAGCATTTTTTGACGCCTACAACTTTGTGTGATTGTAAACCTTATTTGTATTCTCTTTCTCTCTAATAGTAGATCTCCCCCCTCCTTGCCTCGTAAACGTAGGCAACTTGCCGAACCACGTAAAATAATTGTCTTGCTGTGATTTGTAATAGCTTGTTAGGTTCCCTCGACAAGTCAGTCCTAGAACTGATGAGAGGAAGAGTGTATATCCCACTTTGTTGAGATATATTACTTTTGATTCTTGTTTTCTTTGTGAAACAATGATTTAGTTGTGATCTTACTCTCTTGTTGTGCACCAGAGGTGCTGTCGAAATTTCCGCTGCGCACAACAGATGGTTCAATGCGACGTTTGTGCACCTGAGCTTGTATGTGTTGGGTATCAACTCAAACTCCAATTTAGTATAGTGTTTTTAATTCTTTGTATAAGCTCATAAGAATTAGATAGGGTTAGAGATCTATCATGCTTAGGAGTTTAGGTTTCATCATGATTAGGAGTTTGAATCTTATTCTAATTAGGAAGTTAGGCTAGAGATAGAGTTTTGGTTTCCCTATATATGTCCTTCTATTGTTAGAGGAAAATAATTAGGAAGTTAGGCTAGAGATAGAGTTTTGGTTTCCCTATATATGTCCTTCTATTGTTAGAGGAAAAACTAAGAAGAAGAAGTGTAGAGAGAAAGAGAGAGAGAGAGAGAGTTTGGCAGTCTTTGTCCGTGCAAAAGATTATAATTTGAAGGTGATAGTGGATTGATTTGATCCTGTGGTTTTTCCCTGTCGAGAGTTTTCCACGTTAAATCTTATGTAATTTTATTTGCTGTGTTTGGTGGTTTTTCAGGGTTTTTTTTCGAGATCTAAAAATCCCTACAAGTGGTATCAGAGTGGGGTTCGACGGTTCGTAGAGGTTTGATCGGTGCGCAATTCGTGAAGGTGTCAGCGGTCAAAGCACGGTGGTCGACATCGAGAAAAAGGTTATTGTAGCGATGACACTGTAGCAGGAATACTGTAGCGGGTATTGTTCACGCAGATCCAATGGTTGAGGTTGATTTGTCTTTTGATCGAGGATTTGGAGGCGGATTTTGGTGATCCAGGAGTCGTTCCTAGGGTTTTTCGACATGTTGAGTTCGTTTTTGACGTCGATTTTATCAAATTCAATCTCTACAGTGACTGATTTAAATTTTAATTGCGGTTAGAGGATGATGATTTCTTCGGGTCTGAAGTTTGATATTCCGCTATTTAATGACAAGATAAATTTTATAGTATGGCAGTGCACGATTCGAGATATTCTTGTGCAGCAGGGTGTTGATCAAGCTTTAGAGGATAAGAAACCTGAAGGATTGAAGGATGCTGAATGGAGTTCTATTCAAGCTTTAGAGGATAAGAAACCTGAAGGATTGAAGGATGCTGAATGGAGTTCTATGCAAAAGAGGGCGGTTAGCATAATTCGATAAGAAACCTGAAGGATTGAAGGATGCTGAATGGAGTTCTATGCAAAAGAGGGCGGTTAGCATAATTCGTTTGGCACTCGCCCCCGAGATCAAGTACAATGTTATGCAAGAGACCATACCAAGAGGACTGTGGGAAAGGCTCGAGGAGATTTATGCGTCGAAGTCGATGATTGCAAGATATTAATTACAAAGCAAAGTATCGGTTGTAGATGACTTTGTAGTTTCTCCTTTGTCTCCAATTTTTCAGGAAAGTAGCAGATTGATAAGTGAAAGGGTTGGGATTCTCTACAATCTTGATCATAGAGAACATCTACATTTAGTTAGGAAGACTAAACTATTGGCTTATCTCAGTGGATCTTACAAATAAAAGTATTTTTATATTATAGAGAATCTCTACAACTCACAAATCAAATCTCGATATTAATTATCTAGATATCTAAATAATAAAAGTATATCAGATTTCAAGAAGAAAAATTCCTTAGTAAAATCCATAATGATATCATGTAAATAGTGAACAGAATAGGGTAAAACTCATCAGACTTGTGTTATATCTTCATCATAAATTACATAAATCACTGCAATTGGACCACTATATTCAAAGAAACAAAACAATTTCATGATTAAATTTCCCATTTGTTCTTGAGATATACAAGTATCAATCATAAACCAGAGAGATTAATTACCAGAGATTGAGGAACCAAACTCTCACATCTCGTCAACAACACACCATCCTTCTTCATCCTCGTACTCCCAAACAAATCCGACTTCACAAAATTCCATATCCTCCTCCTCCTCCTCCTCATCCTCGTCGTCAATATCAATGTTTTCTTCGTCGATATCCATGGATTCTCCATGATCATCATAATCGTCATCATCATCATATCTTTCACCGGAACAACTACCCATCAACAAAGCATCCAACATCCCGCTAGCGCTAGCCGATGCACCTGAACACTTGGCCGAAATTTCATCTCTATCGTCCACAACTCGCCACGAAACAAGGCGATGGTTGAGCGCAACGTCGCTGCACTTGAGCTTGTATGTCCCCTTGGCTTTGTGTCTTGACTTGCTCGCCGGGCTTGAATGGCACCGAACGCAACGGGCTCTCTTGCACTTGCCCGCGGGCTTCGAGTGGCCCGTGGGCTTCCGGTGGGCCTTCGTGCAGGCGGCGTCAGAGGAGGAGGCTGTGGTGGTTGTCTTGGTGATCCTCACCGTACCATGTTGCCTTCCTTCTCTCTTCATGTTTTGGTTCTTGAGTAATTTGTTGCTTTCAATGGATGATGAAATGGATAGGTGTTGGTATTTTTGTGATGTTTGCTTGTTTTTGCTTGTTACCTTTGCTTGCAAGTATGTATACGAGATAAAATAAGGATTGTGTTTGCTGGTCTTTTGTGTAATTGGACAGAGTAGTCAGCTTGGTGAGGGAGGTGGGCTGGCCAATTTTGACTCCGGATATACTTTAAAGTTTTAGATGCGAAAGAAAGAAGGAAGTGTGTTTGCTAAGATGGGTAAATTTCAACAAGTTTTAGTGTGTTGATCTCATATGAAAAACATGTGTTGGTTCTGAATTTGATTGGCCTTCCATTGTTTATTGGTTGGTTCCAAATAGACCTTTTTGTTTTCAGTAGCGTTGTGTCACTTATTAGCTCTTATGTTTGATATCGACAGATAAACTAGTAAAAACTGAATGTCATTAGAGAGAAGTGAGGTAGAGGCTCTGTGCTATCACACAATCTGATCTCTCCCTTCCTCACCCCTCGTCATCTCCGCCCAGTGGCGTAGCCAGAATTATTTTTTGCCCTGGGTCAAAAATAAAGGTGGTCTACGAGTATGTCCACAGAGTTGTTCTCGGCGGCGGATTCAACCTTCTGTTATTTGATGGAATGTACAGTCAGCCTCCTAACGGGGTGACGGTGGGATTTTTGGACGGCGCAGGGAGTGCGAGCAGTGTTGCGTTGCCGAAGGCCACACCGATGCTGGCACTGCCAGCGCCTCCGAGAGCAAGCAGGGGAGGGGAGGTTGCAGGCGGAGACCCGTTTGCAGCATCGGTGTAGCCTTCGGCCACTATCTTGCCCTGGGCAATTGCTCAGGGCAAGCCTTGACTAGCTACACCACTGTCTCCGCAACAAATCTCATAGGGGAGCAACACCATGTTTGCTATATCCACTCCCAAACAGTAATTTTGGGAGTTGGATTGCCGAAAATGCCCTTTTGATGTTGAGGGTGATTATGGAATGGACTTGGCCTGTTTTGATTTGGGAGAAGGGCAATTTAGTCCTCACACACCCCCAGAGTTACTGTTTGGGAGTGTGAATAGTTGGACCCGAGCAACACGCCACCCAATGGAGGCGAGGGGTGCAGCACTATGACAACATTTTGTTCAATTTCAAAAGGTTATGTCTACCATTATCAAACTTAAAAGGTAATAAGTGGTATAATATAATAGCACAAAGGGTTAATTTCAAGAATAGAAGACCTAAGAGGTGAATCATTTTTATTGAAGCTAGTTTTCTAACGCTTCAACTGGTTTGTAGAATGATGATGATTCAAGTTCCTAATGCCAAAAGGAAGAAGCTTTCTATAAAACTAAGATCAGGATGACTGGATGAGGAAGGATCATGGTTAAGTTAGTCACATAAAATAATTGGTGATACTATAAAGTGTAGTCGTGTACGCTACTGAGGAAAGGGGTTAGCCTACTCAAGCTCCAACAATCAACATACGTTTAGAAAACGCAAGTTGGGGGTGTATGTCCAATTTAACAAATATCAAACCATTGAGCCTACCCTTTTCATTGTTCTCCCCTTCTTCTTCCTTTACCTTTACCAGAGGAAGGATGATAATATATTAGGTGAATATGTTCCCTGCGTAATGGTCCCAGATTCAAATACACAATCGGCGTTCTTGAAATCAAGATGGATTTGAAGTAGACCTTAATTCCCGATAATTATCCAGATGTCTCGTCCGTCAAGAAAGGAAAAGTTTCAATGTTTCTGATAAAATTTGCTATAAAATTAGGAGCTCCGGACCATCTCGTACATAACTTTAGTTAATTGCGAAGAATCCAGCGTACCAAACTAGGCCTAACAGTATTTAGCTTGACCTCCAAACAAGCATTTGGCCTCATCCGATGAGCTACCGACCCGTTCGTTGACCGCATTTGGATTCGAACCCAATCCCGCTCCGGGTCGGATCTTAAAAGAAATATACAAAAAGGGTATGCAAGTAAATCTTTTCCACTTGAAGGGTATTAACGTAATATTCTCACTTTACACATGCCCATATAAAAACAGCAATTTGATCGCCGTTCTAAAACCCTAACCCCGATCTGTAACCCTAACCCTAGCTCGATCCAGCTCCGGCCCCAGCAACAATGGTAATCTCCTCTCCGTTCTCAGATTTAACCCTTTGATTTCATTTGGCATTATTCGGTTATTTTAGCTCTCATAATTTGATCCAGTTCATTCCTTTTGGATCTATGGTTTCATTTCAGTTACTGCAAATCTCCAGTGCAAGTTCCTACCTTTTCGATGTTTTTAGATATTTTAAGGGGATATACTTTGAAATTAACTGAAAAGCCTTGATTTTTTTTTGTCTAAAATGCAGCTATAATCAACCTAAGCTTGGAACCCGATTGCAATTTTAGAGAGATTTGTTGCATAATTATGTGATATTTTAGATGGGTAGATTGTGATTTTCATTTTTTGTTGATGGGTTTATGTTTTAATGTAACAGGCGCCAAAAAGAGGAGTAGCTGTTAAGCCCGCCGGTCAAACGAAGAAGAAGCCGGTAAATTACGAATGACGATGATTTTAGTCTCTGTGTCTTGCTACATTGTGTTTGACAGTGGTTTGCTTTTGCAGGAGAAGGTTGTTAACCCTTTGTTTGAGAAGAGGCCGAAGCAGTTTGGGATTGGAGGAGCTTTGCCTCCGAAGAGGGATCTTCATCGGTTTGTGAAATGGCCGAAGGTGGTTCGTATCCAGAGGCAGAGGAGGATTCTTAAGCAGAGGTTGAAGGTGCCGCCGGCTTTGAATCAGTTCACTAAGACTTTGGACAAGAATCTCGGTAAAATTTGATCATAGTCCTCGTTCTTTGCAGATTTGTATGTTTTAAAGCTTGTGATCTGAATCGCTTCACATTGTTGTATTACATTATATATAGGTGTTATACCCTGGCTGCCTTTATGTATTAGGTTATCAATTTGGTCTATTGTAAGTGTATTTACAGTGATTATATTTTATTATGTCAGATATTTTCTTTGTAAATAGTGAGTCCCATGAGTTTCCTGAGTACACAACTTTCATTCACTATGTAGCAGTTTAGAAGGCCTTTTTCTTTAAACCAACATAATTGTTAATGCACGTTTCTAAAATGACAATGTTTGTCTTGCAAGCTCTCTTGTTTTTTTCTTTTAAGGGGGAAAAAAGCTATCATGTTTGTTATGTATTAGCTTCTCAATTTAGCTTTCTGATAAAATCCATATAAAATAGTATTACCAAGAATTGTACACAAATGTTTCTGCATGTTGCTCTAGCTTTCTCGGGTATGTGTTCATGCTAGTCATTCACTGCTATGTTTTATTGTAATTTCTTTAGTATTTATAGTGATTCCAATTGTAACTGAGTTAAAACTTTTGTCTGTAGTCTGTCTGCTGTGGATTCTTTCATAATGCATTTACTTCAGCGCTTCTTTTCATATATTGTTAGTGCCTGAGCTGAATTTTATTCTGCAGCGACAAGCCTCTTCAAGATGCTCCTGAAGTATAGGCCTGAAGACAAAGCTGCAAAGAAGGAAAGGCTTTTGAAGAGGGCACAGGCTGAGACCGAAGGGAAAACAGTTGAAGCTAAGAAACCTATTGTGGTTAAATACGGGCTTAATCACGTCACTTACCTTATTGAACAGGTATAGGCCACTTGCACCTCGATACCAATTAGAAGTTTCTAATGGAAGAATGTTTTCTAAACATTTTGTTGGAATCCAATATCTTACAGTAAGTTTGACAGTAGTTATTTCTTTCATTCCCCAATACTAGAACCACTTCATTAATTAATATGACCACTATGAAACTTGCTTACTTGTTTATAAGTTATGCATAGACATGTATAACATGCTTTAACAAGTGTTAAGTCTGTCCAAAGAACCTTCGATGTCATTGTTTGAAACAATTGAAATCACGGTTTAGAAGATTATGATTGCACTGCTTCCTATCAAATAAAAGCTTTCCTTGAACCATGAAAAAAGGAAAAGACAATCTAGCCTTCAGCCTTGATATTTATCCTATTTGATTGGGTCTGCTCTATGTTAAAGCAAATATCTAGGGTCTGCTCTATGTTAAAGTAAATATCTATGTAAACACAAAGCACCTTATGATAAAATATAAGTCATATGGGTGTAACTGACAATAAAAATTATAGGGCTAACCACTGTTTTAAAAAACCTCTGCCTAGTCCGCTTAGGCGTTCGCCTAGGCCTAGGCGGTACCTAGGCCACCTAACTAGCGCCTAGGCTGTATTTAGGCTGCCCACCTAGATTTTACGAGCATTTAGGGGAGCATTGCCTACTTACGTGGATTGCACCCTGTAGGTCTTGATTGTGATTTTATGTATTGTACACAAAACCTTATCGACCACCACTTAAATGAAGAAAGAAATCCGTCTAGACACCAGTTCGGTATCTAAGCTTTCTATAACATTGACATTCACTATCAATTATTGTAATTAAAAATAAAAAAAAACATCTTAGGCTCTAGCCTTGTTAATTATTATTTTGGCTATTTAGTATCTAAGTATGCATGATTTATTGAGGAACTAAAATTGCTATCTTTTTTTTGAAAATTTATATGAATTTAATACATATTGTAATTTGAGTTGAGATGAACTTATAATTTGAGTTGAGAAGTATAAACATACAAAGAGCTATTGTAATTGGTAAACCAAGCAATTTAGTTAATAGTGTTGGTATTTTAGTATTTATGCATCTTTGATTGAGTACATATATATTTATTTTCAAGTATCACAATTAAAAAAATAAAAAAGAAAAAAAATGCCCAGAAACCGTTTAGGCGTCCGCCTAGGTGACTAAGCGTTGGGCGCCAAGTCCGATGCCTAGAAACGCCCAACGTTTAATGTAACATTGGGGCTAACTAGCCCGGTATAATGTGGCATTCTTTCTCATATAGGCTCTGTCATATTCTACTGGATTGGGTTGCTATTGTGTAAGATCCACATGCAAATCTATGATATTGTAAGACCTATATCCTGTTGGGCCAGTCAACAATCAATAGCCAAACCATATTACATATATTATTAGATATCTTATTGGATTTCAGATTTCTTGAATTCATTTCTGTTTGTAATTTTTTATGTCGTATCACTTTTATTTGAATAGAAAGTAGTAAAGCCTCTTGCTCATACTCTTCTGTTTTATTTATCTTTCATAGTATCTATAAGACACTAGCGATCAACTCTTTGAGGACAAATGTGAATTGAAAAGAAAAAATTGATTAGCTACAAAACCAAAACATTTAGAATTATACTGACTCGCTGAGTGATTGGATCGTTTGGTCTTGCATCCTCAAGGTCTCTTATCTTATCCAACGACAAAATGGATCCTTTCAGTCTATAATCTATATTATCCAATCACTTATGTTATCTGTATTCAGAATAAAGAGTCAGAATCTCTAGCCCAATTGAACTGGGTTTTTGAGTAGTCACAACCCCATTGCTTTGTTACGGTCATAGTTGAATTTGTTTATTGTGTTACTTTGACATCCATTTCGTAAGAACTCGATCATTTCTGTTGTACAGCGTTCAGTCAATCTAGGCTTTCTGCTACAACCTATGTCACACTCTGACTACTTGAACTCCCCTCCCGTCATTGCTTTCCTCTTAATTTATAAATTCTCTTTGCTTTTGCATTCCAGAACAAGGCACAACTGGTCGTCATTGCCCATGATGTGGACCCGATTGAGCTGGTCGTATGGCTTCCTGCTCTTTGCAGGAAAATGGAGATACCTTACTGCATTGTGAAGGGAAAAGCTCGACTTGGATCTGTAAGTTGTTCGCCCTTCATTCAATGTTTACCGTAATGGGCGGCAGTCCAAGCTGATCAGACTTACCACTTTTACATTTCCTATGTTGGTAGATTGTGCATAAGAAAACTGCTTCTGTGCTGTGCTTGACCACCGTGAAGAACGAGGACAAGTTGGAATTCAGCAAAATCTTGGAAGCTATCAAGGTCAATATATGAAACCATATGTTTTCAAAAAAATTCATTCTATTTCATAACTTGTACCTGATCGCAATCGTGTTCAATTTGCCAGGCAAACTTTAATGACAAGTTCGACGAGATCAGAAAGAAGTGGGGTGGTGGAATTATGGGGTCAAAATCACAGGCCAAAACCAAGGCGAGGGAAAGGCTGATGGCAAAGGAAGCTGCTCAGAGGATGACTTAGGTTCTGCCTTCCAACAACTTTGAGCAGTCTTTGATCAGTCATTGCTCCAGTTTCACAAAGATAGTCCTTAAGCTTTGTGGTTTAGGTTACTTTTTTTTATTTTTGGGTGTATGATGAGCTTTGTAGCCTCAGAATTGTTTAAATTTGCCAACATTGTTCCTGTTGCAACAATTTGTTTCTCAGCGGCAGAATTATTTAAATCTCCCAACGTTGGTCCTCGGACGCTTGTATTGTTCCTTACCTGGCTCTCTGTTTTTATCTGTAACTGGCACAATCTTTGCAACGCCATTCGATTCATTAGGATATGGTGGTGTTTCTTGTTTCCGTGCAAAGCAAATTCACGGATTCACCTTCTCAACTTTCCTTCGAGGGTTTCGAAAAATCTGTTCTTCGTGTTTTTTATTGCAAAAGATCGCGTGTGACTATGCTATACAAAAAACTCTACAGGACAACTATAACATGGTGACCTATGGATTAGAATGTTGGGCAACTTAAAAACAGCGAAAAGATCAAGCATAGCTGAGACTAGAAATGCTAAGTTGATCTTATGAATGTATTTATAATAACTTGAGAGGTTGCACTTATTGTGAATAGAATGTACTTAAAAAGCAAAGAAGTGTATAGTATAGATGAATTCGAAAAGAATCTGGTTATGAATTTGAAAAGAAGTATATGATGATAGTTAACTTAGCATGGGAGATGATCCATAATAAAACTATTGAGTATAAGAAAAACATTTATATAGACGGACTTAAAAATTTCGGAAAAAGACTTTGTTGTTTTTCGTTACATATACGATGCATCCTATCGTTTCCGCTGCCAAATGAACCTTGTTCTCAGTAGCGACATAAAACATACTTATTTTCTCACAAAAACACAAAAAAGAAAAAAAGAAAAAAAAGAAAAGAAAAAGGACATAGTTTCGTCATATTCATGCAGAGATCCTAAGTTCTACACAAGCAACCAATCTGAGCAACCATCAGCATCACAATCACTTATGCGTCCGTTCATCACCTCATCTTCTAAAATCTCTTCATTTTCATGACACCACAACTCATCATCATGGGCCGATACTTTATTGCCATTTCCAAACCTTGGGCCATTAAGAACCTCATCGAACCCGTCCGATCTGGGGCCCAGCTTTTTGGGCCCATTGGACTTATTCTTGGGCTTGGGCTTGTCCCTGCTGCAGCCGTTGCTGCCCGTGAACTTCGAGTGGTTGGTGGGCTTGGAGGACACCCTGGTAAAAGCGCCGGCGGTTGGTGGGCCTTCGAGCTTGTTCACCACTCTGGAATTGGACCTTGGGCTGTTAACGGCCCATGGCAGAATAACGTGGGTCCGCACGAGCCCATGTTGCTTGCCTTCCCTCCTCATTTTTTTTGGGCTTCGTGGGCAGAAAGAGTGGCTTGAGGGGATAAAACCAACGCCCAGACGTTTATATGGATGTAGGTTTCTTGGTGAGGAGGGCATCGTGTTGGCTGCCAGGTCATTATCCTTGGGGAGCAAGGCATTCTAGTTTTTTAGTTTGACTAATGAAGTCAACTTTGACCTAGCTAATCTAGTGCTGATGATGAGTTATGACTATCGCCGATTTTGTCAGCGCTAATAAAACTACAATCCTTATCATAATTTTGGAGTTTTGCGCAGTGAAAGAGGGCAATCTCAAGTTCTATATGTCACACATTTAAAGCGGATTTACAAAAAAAAAATGATTTATTTATGATTCTAAAGTTGACTATGGTTTATTTATGATTCTAAAGTTGAATATGCATAAAAAGAAATCCTTTTAGCAGACGTGAGAAGATAATAAGAATAAAAGATTGTAATTGTTCTTTGCGCTTATGCTCTGTGCTAAGTTATTAGACTTTGTCACACAAGTAGCTGTAGAAATATCTCATATTATTTATTCCGCTAAATAGCACTTAAATACCATATAGTTTCACTCATTTTAGCACTTATATACCCTCAGTTGTACTTTGTAGCATTTATATACCCTTAATTGGTCAAAATTGGCACTTTAATACCTTATATTTTGCAAATATGAAAATTTTTATTCGAAAGTTCCCATGTAACATTCATATGTTAATTTTGGAGCTTCCTAACCATCAATATTTGTTAAATTACTATTAAACCAACCCAAATTATAATTTTAAATGCATCATAATTTTATTTCCAAAATAGAATTTGAAAAGATTTAACAATGAATTCAACAAAATTAATGGAGAAATAACTATAATAATAGCATATAAATATTATATGAGAACTTTTAAACAAAAATTGTCACGTTTGCAAAACATAGGATATCAACATGCCAATTTTGACCAACTAAGGATATATAAATGCTATGAAATACAATTGAGGGTGTATAAGTGCTAATAGTGTGGAACTACAAGGTATTTAAGTGCTCTTTAGCCTATTTACTTTATTAAGAAGTGTACACCTATAGGATATTGGCCCTTTTTCCATAATCGATAAGATTAATAAAAATTTCTTCACCTTTATTTTATTTCAAAACATCAACATCAAGCAACAAGCTACAAAGAAAGACATCACCTTAACGTTGAAATGAAAATTATGAAACCCAACATGTTCTCGTACTTTTACAAGATGAAGAAGCCATAATAATAATAATAATAATTGGAAATAATTATAGCTTGAAAGTACTTGCAAACAAAATAAGCCATATATCAATCCAATCTCAATAACAACCAAACAACCCTATAAGACCAACACCCAAGATAGATTATCTTCGGTGTTAATTTGATCTAATCATTATTTATGGAAAATTTAAAAAAAAGAAAAACCCCAAGACAAAATCAAAACCAATAGCGCCCCTTTCAATTTAAATCTATTATCATATATGACAATCATTCTGATCCATCATATGATTCATATCAATGATGTATTAAAAAAACATCTATCGTTTCTCGTTATAATACACCATTTATACAATGCACCAGAACCAACGCATATTTCCTCACCAATCGACCACTTCATATTCACCAAAGTCGACCGATGAGACGTCCGACGATATATCGGTCCAACCATCTTCACCGACGTCCGATGAGAAATCGGTCCGAGAGTCTTATTCGGTCTGTCCATCTTCATCATGACGTCCGAAAACGCCCGGGCCATCGCACATTGCACAAGAACAATATGACCAAGTACCATAATCACCATATCCTTGATCTGAATCAACAAAGCAGTGTAAAAAATCCGTCACGGTCAGGCCCATGCGGTAGTCGGCAACGTACTCCGGCCAGCCGCTGTCAACGGGCCGCCACGACATCAATCTGTCGTTAAGCGTGACGTCGAAGGATCTCAGCTAGTATGAGCCCTTGGATTTCTTCTTGGATTTGGATGATGGTGGTGGTGGTGGTGGTGATGGTGAAACTTTGATGGTTACAGTGTCATTGATTCTTCTCTCCTTCTTCTTCAATAATAGTGTCTTTGGTGTTCTCTTCATGTTAGGGTTAGAAAAACGGTGGTGGATTAGTGGGGGTATCTATAATTAGCTTTGTTAATTAGTGTAGAGACCGCTGCTTTTAATTCGTCTATTGTTTATTGGATGGTTATAATTTATTTCATATTTCAGTTAGTGTTACTTGGTGATCAAGTTGTTTATCTAAAGCAAATTGAGCCAAGGAGATTTAATTGATCCGCTAGTCCTAATTTTTAGGATCTAGAATGAAATTTAACAAATGTTTCGGTTAATTAAAATTAAGGAGGTTTTTCTATCCTCTTTCACATCCACCTTGGAAGTTGACAATCGATCCAGATGAAAATTTATTTATCATTTTGGATGGTTTTGATTCATTTATTTACTCACCTTAACAAAAAAAAAAAAAAAACTGTTTATTGTTTTCAACTTACTATGCCAGTAGTTTCATTGTTGAAGATAGAGAGCTAGGGTTAAATTTGTCGACTCTTTTACCTTCGGTGAAATTTTGACAAATATCGAGCCTATCTTAGGTAAAACTCAAGAAAAAGTACTACCATTTTTAATATCTGCTAAAACTTCACCCAGTGTAAAAGAGTCAAAAAGAAGTTAACCCAAGAGGTCTATCTGCAATAATGAAACTAAAGGGGGAGTAAGTGCAAATTAGCGATATTCGAGATTAGAAAACAATCTAGCAGATGAAAATTTCCAGAACAAACCATGTATTTCCATTTTCTGATCACTTCTGCATTTATAATTATAGCTCAGGAAATAGTAGAAGATGGTAACATCACAACTCAATACTTTTTTAATTTGAAACTTTTACTTCAAGCTGTATTCAGACTCTTTGCGTCTAACATAAATTTCTACGATAAACTGAATGAATATGACCCTATCAATATTAACATCAAGCTGTATTCATACTCCTTGTGTCCAACATAAATTTCTAAGATAAACAGAATGCATACGACCCTATCAATTTTAACTTGAAGTATATTGGCAGTTAGATCCTATAAGCAATTTTGGCATGTCATTTTTCTGTGCATTTTGATGAAGAGAGTGGAACAAGGTCTCGTGCTTTTACGGAATACAACTGGAGTGTAGATTCTGAGCCCTCAGCTATTTCAAACTCACAGTGATCCCCTTCTTGAAGTTTGTTTGCTCTGGAAAAATGCTCCCAACCACCGATGAAGCCCACAAACTTGGTATCTTCATGGTAGAGAACCGGCCAGAGTCTCATCGATGGATCACGAAGCAGAATTATCTTTCTTGAGTGTTTCGCTCTTCCAAACTGAGATGGCAATTTTACAGGCAATTTCTGCAAATGTAAGAAGACATGAAGGGTAACATATTATACTCATGAATGAAACATTTTATATGTTCATAAAGGAATAAGATAAATTTCACAGAACA